GACCCATGTTTTTCCACTCCACAAAGATGGTAGATTACAACATTAGACTGACTTGGACCCATGTTTTTCCACTCCACTAAGATGGTAGATTACAACATTAGACTGACTTGGACCCATGTTTCTCAACTCCACAAAGATGGTAGATTACAACATGGTAGACTGACCTGGACCCATGTTTTTTCACTCCACAAAGATGATAGATTACACCATTAGCCTGACTTGGACCCATGTTTCTCTACTTCATAAAGGTGGTAGATTACATCTGTATACTGAGTCGTTTTTACTTTATTATAAGAATAATACATATTGGTTTTATTTTTTATGTTTTATCACATATTATCAAAACTGGTTGCAATCATATTGTCAGAGAAAATTTATGATGCACTAAAATGATTAAGTTTGTGACTACATTGTATCATGTCTGCCACTGGTTTGTACAGTTTTAGTGTGTACTTACTATTGCATGTTCTTGCCATGCCTTTATAGGAAATTTTTAACCATACCATAAATGTTAAGAAGAGTTCTTTTTTATTATATTCTTTTAGTAGTATAAGAATTTTGCTGTTTTAGATGGCCATCTTAAAGAATTGGTCCAAGAAGAAAACCATTTTCTCCAGATTCTACATCATGTCATGGACATGGAAGATCATGATAAAGATACTCTACATTTACTTGTCTTTTTACTTATGCAGGTTAGTTACTGATTTGCTATTTGATGTGAATGTTTTGTGTTTTACATTCAAAATACTTTCAATAACTATTTTCAAAATAGAAATGCAGAAACAAAAAAGAAATATATGCTAACTGTTTACATCATGTACATGCTTCGATTGTTTCTAGAGCCTGCCAAATTATTACTGCTAAAACATGTTAATATCCTTAGTACATGTGAAATGTGTAATTGTTCTTTTAGTGGTGGATTCTGGGTGTACTGTGTCTAGGTTTTAGTGGTGGATTCTGGGTGTACTGTGTCTAGGTTTTAGTGGTGGATTCTGGGTGTACTGTGTCTAGGTTTTAGTGGTGGATTCTGGGTGTACTCTGTTTAGGTTTTTGTGAAAAAAATGAATTAATCTTATCTTTTGAAAATATCTAGGCTCAGAGTTTTTATTTTTGACTTTAGGGCATGTTTTCAATGTTTTACAATCTGGCAAAGAATGCTAGCTCGAAATGTCATCTTCCCTAAATAAAACATTTTTGACGATTTATAACTTCTTCATTTCTTTCTGTGTCTCTGTCACCTATGCGGTTAACTTTCTTTGTGATGGAAATATTAATTTTGACTTGCAGAGTTTGATTTTAAGTTGTAATTTTAATTTATTGATTTTATAAATTTTGGAAACACTAATTTTTTTTTTTGTGACAGATGTATGTATAGGTAGTTATTGCACATCAGCACAACTGCATCTGTTGTGGGTGGAAAAAATACATTTGAAAGATTAATTATGAAACAAGCACATATTACATTTAACCTGCTTGTTTGTTTTTAATGCAAAGCCATATTAGGCTATGTGCTGTGTCCGCTGTAGGGAATCAAACCCCAGGTTTTTGCCTTGTCCGTAAACGTATTGCTGATCTTATGGAGGACTTGTGTGAATAATGCATAAGATTTTGAACCATCTCCTCCATCTCAAATGATAAAAATTAAACAGATAAAAATAATATGAATGAAAAATAAAATGTATTTAGGTTTGGGGTTGTGGTACTCGATTTGCAAAATGCAGTTCATGGGTTTGAATCCTTGTTACTGAACATGCTCACCCTTTCAGCTGTGGGGTCAATCTCACAATTCATTGGTAAAAGCTTATCTTAAGAGTTGATGGTGGGTGGTGTTGACTAGTTGCTTTCCTTATAGTTTATCACTGCTAATTTAGGGACAGCTAGAATAGATAGTACTTGAGTAGCTTTGCTTGAAATTAAAACCAAACCAAGTTACTAGAAGGGTACACAGTGGCACATACCTCTGCCACTCAATGTTGATCATACTTGGCTCTCAAAAATACAAAAATGTTACCATATATCCATCGTTATCAATGGAGAAGGACCATTTTTGGAAGGACAACGAGGAATAATATTCTACATGTGCCCCAAGTTTCATCAAAACCTGATTATTTTTGACTGAGTCAGAGAGCAAAAAAGTGTGAAAAATTGATCCCTACATTAACAGATAGGGATATTTTGGATTTTCTTGACCTTCCTGTGACCTTGACATTCAAACCTGACCCTCAAAAAACTTTTAAGTGGAGTCATAGTCCAAATGTATACATTAGGAAGCCATTGTTTTAACAGTAGATGTTTTGCAGGTTTAGTTATTGCAAAATTACTCCTGCAAATTCCTGAATAAAGTATTAAATAGTTATGCTACAGTTTTATATAAATTGAACCAGTTTCATCAATGAAACAGCACTTCATGCATCATCTTCAAGATGTCAACAAATCATGTACCTATTAAGCAGTGTGCTCTATCATTGGACTGCAAAGTCTAAATGATCGTAGCTATGGAGCCCAGTATTTGTCATGGTAATGTCCTTAGAAAATTCGATGTGAAGCCCAGTACACTGTCTACAATTTTGAACAAAAAGTCTGATGTTTTTAAAATGTATGAAAACAACAAAACCAAATCCAACTGCAAACAATTCCAGTTCTCATCAGTGGACAATGTTGAGTGAGTATTGTAAGAATGATTTACCAACACACATTTGATGAATATTCCAATCAGCGGGCCCATTCTCCAAGCAAAAGCCAGAGAACTGTGACAAAAATTAAATCATTTCGACTTCAAATCCAGCAATGGTTTGCTGGAAATATTCAAGTCTCAACATGGCATCACCTTTAAATCTGTTTCGTCAACGTCACAAGCCATGGATTGCCTAGTAAAGCTACACAGTTACCTCCAGTCTCTTGAAAATGTTCAACCAACTGTTTTTATGTAACTGTCACAGATTGAAGACATGAAGGTCACTATCAAACCAAGGTTACGAACTTTATTAAGTAAGATTTTACCTTTTCAGTTACATTGACGTAATTTTGTCTCGATGTTTTGATGATGTAAATAATCCTCTTTATTTAGAAATAAAGAAGATTGATGCCTAATTTTTGTGTTATATGTATTTTTGCATGGTGTGTGGAAAGGACAACAACATTGCATTGTGGGGCATTGTAATTATGAAAGCGCCTTCTAGTGGTCAATTGGTTATAATGAACTCCTATAATAACGAATTATTTTGCTGGGTCCCATGGTATTTGTTATAACGAGGCATGGCTGTACTAACTTCATCCAACTCCATTTAACTGTTTTTGAGAAATTTTGTGGACAAACACACATGGGTGAAAACATAAACTCTGTCCACCTTCAGTAGTAGATGTAAAAATTGATCAATTGACCTCTGTAGTCTTTCACACAAAATTAGTAAATTTTCATATATTTAAATGTTTTAATCAGAATTTTTGCCTGTCACTCCTTAGGATCAAATTCTAACATTTTTGTTTATTAAATGATCTTAAAGTAATTTAACTGATGTACTTTTCTTTTTAAAGTTTTCAGCAACTTTAATAACTTGCTGGAGAAATAACTTGAAAGTTTACACCAGTTTAAACTAATCTCTGAATCTTAGATTTTTAATGTTCTGTGATCATCAAAATATAGTTCTTGTATTTTATAGCTGTTGTTAACAATACTTGTGTTATTATTCAGAGTTCTTGTATTTTATAGCTGTTGTTGACAATACTTATGTTATTACTTATAGTTCATGTATTTTATAGCTGTTGTTAACAATACTTGTGTTATTATTCAGAGTTCTTGTATTTTATAGCTGTTGTTGACAATACTTATGTTATTACTTATAGTTCTTGTATTTTATAGCTGTTGTTGACAATACTTATGTTATTACTTATAGTTCATGTATTTTATAGCTGTTGTTAACAATACTTGTGTTATTATTCAGAGTTCTTGTATTTTATAGCTGTTGTTAACAATACTTATGTTATTATTCATACAATACTTATGTTATTATTCATAGTTCTTGTATTTTATAGCTGTTGTTGACAATACTTGTGTTATTATTTATAGGTCTTGTATTTTATAGCTGTTGTTGACAATACTTG